GTGAAGACACGGTATGAGGTGAGTATGACTTTCTAATTAGTTCACTGTTAATGATGTCACATCCCTTCCTCTTGACGACAGACATTTTTGTCAGGAGGAAATTGCTGTCCCTTGGTACAGCCAGGGATTGTAGTTGTGGTGTCATCCTGCTTCACACATTGGGCCACAAGAGCCAAGCCATACCACTGATAACTAGGCAGAAAGTGAATGTGAAACTCACCCTGAGATTTTAAAGTTCTGTTTGTATGCAGTGCCTCTGTAATTGTAGGATACTTTTTGTTTTACCTTCTTGAAGGACTGTTAGAGGCTGAGGTAGGTGGAACACAGTTTTTGCCTTGGCCTGTTCTCTCTGCTGCCATCTCTTGTATCAGATGAGAACACTGGCCTCAGGGTGTGAGTGGAGCTCCTTGGCATATAAATGACTGACTCTTATCTACCTCTGCAGAGTGGAAGATTTGGCTATGGGAGCGTATACGGAGCTCTGAAGAGTATCTATCAGACGGAAGGAGCTCGTGGCATGTTTAGTGGGCTCACTGCCACTCTGCTACGGGATGCACCTTTCTCTGGGATCTACCTGATGTTCTACACACAGACCAAAAAACTCACACCTCAGGGTAAGACTGAACTTTGGAGGCTGTGACATAAAACATTGCTTTTCTTGCATTGTGCCCTAAAATTCCCTGCTCTGCTTATTGCATGCATCAGCAGTAGTTCAGTTACTCTGCTGTGAGGCTTTAGGTGAGATGTTTGTCTTTTGCTTGTGGAGAACCACAGATCTCATGTCAGTATAGAAATGGAAATCGGCCCAAGATTTACTGTCTTTTTGAAGACTCATGCTTAAAGTAGGTGGGTGATGTATAAGTTAGGTTAGTGAAGAACTGAAAGAGGATGTGTTCAGCAGTGGTTTCTGCTGCTGGTTGTGTTGTATACTGATTAGTTTCCACTAAGCTGGGATTTCTCTGCTTATAGAACTGGCTGAGGCAAGACTTAAACAACTTTTCCTTATCTGAGTTCCTGTTACGTTCAGTTCCTTAGCAGTGAGTGCTTTAAACTGTTCTAACTTTAACTTGTAGCCATCTCTCCCCTTCTACTCTACCCTCAGCGGATTTTAATTTCTGTCATGCTCTGCCATTGATGCTATAATTTGGTAGTTTTTCACTTCATTGTGCAGTGTGGGTATTACTGGCCTCTTTTGTATCTGAGTGGGTTCCCTATTCTCTGTCACAGTCCAGCTGGATCCAGTGCTCATGCCTGTGGTGAATTTTGGCTGTGGGATCTTTGCGGGAGTCTTGGCTTCACTGGCAACACAGCCTGCTGATGTCATCAAAACACACATGCAGCTGTCCCCTGAAAAGTACCGTAGGACAAGCCAGGCCATTGCCTTCATCTACAAGGTATGATGAATCTCTTCTAATTGGTGTAACTGCAACCTTGCTTCTAGTTTTTTTGCCCAGAGCACTGTTATGCTAAGTTGTTGTCTTTATGCTCCTGCAGTCTGGCTACTCAGTGTGAGCATTTTCGGAAGATGGGGGGGGTCATTCTGTGGGAGACAGAGGCTGAATCTCTTGTCACTGTTTTTTGTGGGGGGAATTTTGCTCAGGGAATTAACTGGAAGAGTGCTGTGGTTGATGGTTTGAAGGCAGATGTTTCAGTCCGCTCCTTGAATTTCCTTGTATTTAATAGGCTATCATCAGTACTCAGATTATTTCCTGCTCCTCTTGAATGGGTTACAAGGGAGTGGAACGTGCATCAAGCTGCTGAATGATTACACTTCAGTTGTCTGCTCTGCCTTTGTCTTCACACTGGTGGTGACTTTAGCTCCAAATGTAACCTTGGAGGAGCTGTGCTTGCAGCTGCTGCCATCTGTGGTTTATCCATGTAGGCACATCTGTAATTACCACACTAAGGCAAAGGGTTTCCTTAGAATGTAGCAGATCTTAGCAGCTTTGCTTTATTTTATTTCCTAAACAAGAATCTGTATTTGTGTATGGATTTTTTTTTTTTTTGTGTGCATGAAATGTTTACTCCTAACAGATGTATTTATTTTCAGTACTTAAAATTTTCAGTTTTTAAAGAAAAATTATTTTTGTGAACAGGCATGAGCCCAAAACCAAGGACAAGTCATTTTCCTGAAGCAGATTGAAATGATTGCTCCTTCACATTTTCTTTGTCAGGCTTGAGTGTGGCTTTCCCTGTCCTTTGTCATTGTGGCGTACCCTTCTCCTTTTTAAAGTGGGTGTAATTGCACAGTGTTTTGCATTCTTCCTAGAGGTTGAATGTAATTTAAGCCTGGATCTTTCAGAGGCTGATCTGAATCTGAGCTGAAATACATCCTGTGCTGTTCTGTGTAATAAATGATGAGGATTTAAAATGCTGCAGGCAGATGGTAATGGATTGCTGTTTGTTTTCTGCTGCAGGACTTCGGGTTGGTCGGCTTTTTCCGAGGCGGTGTGCCTCGTGCCCTCAGGCGTACTCTGATGGCAGCAATGGCGTGGACTGTATATGAACAGATGATGGAAAAAATGGGCTTGAAATCCTGACTGACTTGCACTAGAACTGACCAGCCTCACTCCTTCTGCTTGCTGTGACCAGCTGGCACTGGGAAGCTCCCAGTTCCAAGGAGGAATAAGCCTTGCTCAGCTGGGAGGAAGAAAGCCCTTCTGAGACAGAGGATTAGGCCTTTAGGGAAGTAGAAGAAAGAAAGATCAAATCTTTGCATCTTTTGATCATTGCATTCCAGAAGGACTGTACTTGGGACTGCCTTGGGCAGGGTTTCCACAGCATGGTATCTATGCTGAGAGAAGCCCATTTTAAAAATAGCTCTGTGCTTGCCACCTTTATGCAGTGATACATTGCCAAACAAAAGTGTTTGAGGAGAAAACAGTGAGGGCAGTGTTGGCTGCAGAACCTTGCTTGTATGTTCCTTGCTGTCTGGCCAGTAAGGCCACCATGATACATCATCTGATGCAGATCCTTCTTCCTCATATGCTTTGTTCTCCTCGGGAGCACTGCAGACTGTAGGAGACTCGATATGTCTCTTGATGTTTATAATGCAAGAGTGGATGGAAGAGAAAAGAAGCACTGAGGGAAAACTAGGAGTACATTTTCTGTCGTCATTATTGTACTGTGCTCGATAGCAGAGAAGGTAACGTGCACCTCCCTGCTGTGTTGTGTCATCAGGTAACTGAGCATCTTAACACTTCAAATACATTTCTGTAGCTACAACAGTGTTTGCAGTGGAATTAGAAAGAGTAAGGCACTTTAAACCAGAAGTAAAGAGCGCATTAGTTGCTACCAAAATTCTGCTGGTTCCCTGAAAAACATTTTTCCTGCTGGTCAGACCATATCAGGAAAACTTAAATGTTTTTTATCCAGTTGTACTAGAGACTTACTTGCTTCCTGTTGCTCATTTGCTGATCCCTCTGCTCCTTAGATGTAGCTTTTAAGATTGTAGCTTCCAGAGCATAAATGTATAATGGAAGCAGATACAGATACTGACACTTTAAATTTCCCCGAGAAGCTGCTACTGACTGCATGTGGAATATCTTTGGTTTGGGAAAGAAAAAGCTGTTCTTTTCTCTAAGCTTTCTCCAAAGTTTGAGGTGTTTGAGTGTTTGGTAGGGACAAAGAAACCCTGGACAGATTGTCAGACGTTCATTTTCTCTTAGCAGGTAGCGTGTTCTTGTTTCAGTATTCCTGAGTTTAAACTTGGAGATGAAATTTTTTTTTTTTTTAGTCTTTTTTTTCTCATTCCTACTTCAGACCCCAAAGCACCTGTCACCAGATGCGTGGATATTTTTTGGGACTTTCTTATTCTGGAGTGTGTGGTGGATATGTTATACATCTTGCATTGTGGCAGTCAAGGACTATGCAGGGTTACCTGCGAGGTGATTCCCTAAATATTTCAGTTGCTGATGTAGCAATGGGAAAGCACTGTACAACTTGTGCAGATAGAGGCATAATGAGGCATGTGAGCAAGGAAAGTTAGGTGACAAATCTTGTTCAAGTTATGTCCTCATCAGAAATCTGAAATGCAGGAACGCTTCAGTGACTTTTAGGCCCTCTCTTTCTGCCTGGTCAAGTAACAAAGAAAGATGTAAAGAATCTAGTCTGACCTGCTGGTGTCTTCAAAGTCAGCTGATTTTTATCTGGATTCTAGCCTAATGCTGTGTTAGATTTTTCTTCTTGAAAGCCCTTCCATTGTCCACACTTTTTGGAGAATGAGGAGGCTCTTCACTGTTGCAGCAGTGTGAAAAAGTATGTGCTTTTGACATGTGAACTAGCCTGGGCTCTTGGAGTTTAACAAAGCTAAGTTTCACCACCTGTTTCATCAACCCTTACTCTCTTCAAAAACATTCTGTTTCTAGAGTGATTAGTTGAAGTTACTTTTTGATAGTTAGGCCAAGTCAAAAACAAGTGTTTGGGTATATTGCTTGTGATGTTTGATGCTTCTAATGAAGAACAAATTGTTGTACAACTTAAATGCAAATAAAAACCAAAGAAAATTCCAGAGGCAGGTACTAAGTCTCCTGTCTGCATAACCCCTGCAATTCAGTGCTAACAATCCCAGCAGATAATCATTGACAAAGTCATTTTAGCCTGGATTTTGGAGAAGCTGGGGTGATAGTGTGAGCTTTCTTAGACTGCCAGATCACCATCAGACCCCTCTCCCAATGACTTCAGTTGTTGGCAATTTAATCTTAGTGAACGTGCATTGATTCTGTTATTCCTGCAGCTGTGCTCTAAGAACACAGCTGGTTAACAGATGGTGGCAGTCAGTGTTTACCTGAAAATTATAAAGGTACAGGAGATATAGTCTGATTGTCTATTGGTTTTGTGTTATTTCCACGCTGCCTGTAGTGGTTTTTTGTTTGTTTTTTGGTTTTTTTTTTCCTCTTGCACTGTTTTTAAACGGAAGTGGAGCTGTGGGACAGAGTACAGGTTCAAGTATTTTGAGTGTATGTTTACATGAAATATTTATGTGATAAGGAATATATTTATATTAAAAACTGTGGTTACCAAAATTAAGAAGGTCTTCTGAATATTTCTTTCAAAAAAGAAAACCTAAAGGGGTGGGATGGAGAAGAGGCTTAGGAAAGCAAATGAAGCTTCCCAAGGGAACTGAACTGTTGGATGAGCTCAGATTTATGCAAGGCAATGAGCATTCTCTTTCGGGGGCATAGTAAACACACCTAAATTGGTTTTTCTTAAATGGAAAGAAATAATACATAGTAATGGGGATTCTTGTCTTTCTCACACTTTCCTGTGTCTGCCTGTTGTGTGTCAAAACTGATAAGAAATTTAATCTCAATATCCAGTGTTGAAATACCAGCCTTCAGAAGCTGCCATTCTGAGCATTTTGGGTAGAAACTAACTTTTTAATCTCCAGCCAACCTGAACTGTGCTACTCAGGCAGTCTGGTCTCAACAAAAGGCCAGAAATTGTGCCTGGGATTTCATTTTCCACTGCAAAGCGCAGTGCAAGGAGACAGCTGACTGCTGACCTCCTCTGGTCATAGTGTGGTCCTGGGATTCAGTAGCATGCAGAGCTCTCAGAGCTCCTGCTGCCTTGCAGACCCACATCCACTTCAGAGGGCGTTTCTGTTCACACCACTGCCAACCATCCAGCTGGGAGGAGAGATAAGGGAGAGGCTTGCTGATGCTGGGGAGGGTGGAGAAAACGGAAAGGGAACAGCTAAAGTCCTTGTAATAAGACACTGACCCGTTACTCTGTCTTCTACTCAAAAAAAAAAAAAAAGCAGGCAAGATGAGGCTAAAGATGAGACTTCTGCAAGTTTTGTAAAACTTGAAGACTTTATTTCTTCAAACCGTAAAAGAAAAACCTTTGAAATGCAGGCCAAGCTGGAATTTACAAAGATGATACTAGTATGGCTCAGATACCAGTTCTAACTTCAGTAATGCAATTATGACACCATTTTTCTCCCATGAAACTGCAAGCTGAAGGGAAAACTACATATTCAGAAAAAGAACCCTGCCTCCATGCACTGCATGAGTTCTCACTGCACTGAGTGCTAACCTCAATTCCATGGAGGTTTCAGCACATTTCTGAAGAAAGCTGTAGCTGTTCCCAGAGGCAGTTTCCACAGAATTATGTAGCATGGTATGCAATGACAAACAGCCTCATAAAATTCAGACACTGTGTTTGAATAATGGCAAGTGTGGGACCACCTCTGGACAAAAGCCACACAGCTGCAGGAGAATGCTCTTTCTTTTCCCAGTGTACCATGCACTCAGTTAAACCTGTACCTGGAAGGACCTGAAGTTCACCTGTTGGGCTGTGCACTGCACAGGCTGGTGAGCCAGCATGTGTTAATTTCTGCAAGCACTGCTTCTGTATAATACTGCACAGCTTCACTGGATATGGCCCCATTTCCACACAAATAAAAGTGAAACCAAGGTGTAGAAACAGATCTGGAGTAATGAAGATAATCTGTGGCTTCAAATAAAAATACCATCAACTTTAAAAACAAACAAACACCTCCAGACCTCCACTGACCTTGGTTGCCTTACACCAGTTGCCTCCTTTTCCTGTTCCAATAGCACAAGGGAAGCAAAGCCCTCTCCTCCCTCCCTCTGGTGGCTCACCATGGAACAGACATGGTTCTTCATGCTCCAGGGACAAGGGGGAGGGGGACACACAGATAACATGAGATGAGAAGGAAGGACTTGCACAACATACAAAAGGTAAAAGATGTCTTTTGTTGACCATAGGAAGACTATGTAAGCTGGCTAACACCTCTGTTTCCCACCTGTGGGATACCCTTCCTGAAGCAGTGTAAAGCCGTAATACTCTCAGCTTGACTATTTCTGTGTCTTTGTCAAGGGGATCCCAGGCATGGTGCTGCACAACTGTATCCTTTTCATTGGATGCTCATCAGTTACACTGGATGGAACTGCCAGACCAGAACTTTGTGGGACAGGGAAAAAAAAAGGCTTAGACAACGTCTCTAACTCAGCAACTCTATGGATAGTAGGGAGGCCGTGCACAGGCTGGCTGAAGCCAATGCCTTCACTCTCCATTTCCTCATCTGCCTTCTGGCAGTGGACCAAAAAGCACCCTTTCAAGGCACTGGGCCGAGGCATGAGAGAAGCCAGGGTCTCATTCAGCTGAGTTCCCACCTCTTCATTGAGGAATCCCAGGCAACATGAACACTGCAAACCTTTGTGGGAGATGGCTGTGCATTTATGTTCTCATTTTGGTCTTAGCGTGGATCTTCCTCCACCAACTCCATAGTATCTCTTGCACGACACCTCCAGACATGTTTGATGGCAAAGAGAGAGCCCAAATGTCTGCCCTCCTGATCCTCTCTCATATCACCCCCCAAATAAACCATTCGATCCATTCTTCAGAGGATCCCTTCTGCACAGATGTCTGTGCAGCAGCCAAGTGGCTTTCCCTCCACTTGGGGATCCCATTACAGACTCCTTGCTCAGAGGTGGCTCGTAGCAAGAGTCATTGCTCTTCCAGCAGCCTGGATTAGCTGCCATTGTCTTTCTGAGGCTTTGTGAGCACGTCAGGAACCTCAACCTTCCTGATGGACTTCTCAGAGGTTGGCATTAACTCAGTGATGCTTCTGTGCCATCCTGCCTCAAGTTTCATTGCTGTTACAGAAGTGACCATATGCTGAGGACTCCTTTCTGTGGGTTCACTCCCACAGCGAACCCATGTGCCAACTTGCTTGTTAAGGCTGCTCCTATGCTCAGGAAAAGCTCTCTGCCCCATCATGCATCCTGGGCTCCAATCCTGGTGCTCTGCACAGGGCTTCCTCTGAGATGTCACTGCCTTGCTGGTACTGACAGTTCAAAATAGCCCCAGACCACACAGATCTGGAATCATAGAGTGATTCAGTGAGCTAGAAGGGACCCACAAATCAAATTCCTGGCTCAACAGTAAAGAAAGTAATCGCATTACTACATTTAATCAGCACATTGCTAGTATTTGAGAACACAAAGCAGACCTGAATTAGGCCTACGTTTAATGGGAAATAATCCAGCAGTTGTGGCAGGGGTGTTCTGTTACAAGCTCACCCAATCTAGAATTTAGAACAAATATATCTTAAAACTGTAATTAGATTTCAGCAAGCTCTGTAATGCTGGGAGCATATTTGCATTTCCCTTGGCAGTCTGCCACTTCTCCCAAGCCACCAGAGTATTTCGTGACTTAGTTTCAAAACTCACCATGAAGGTTGCATGTCACCTTTGGCCCACTGCCATCCAGGTACAGATCCCTCCTGTACTGTAGCTTTCTGCACAGAACACAACATACAACTGTAAGTGAGCTGTCTGTTCATCCTGACACGCACAAAAAGTGAAATGAAAATCAGCTCCACTGGATTTCATTAGTGCAGATCCTAACAGCTGTGAAGATCTTACCCTCATAAACAAATATCCCAGCCGGTGAAGAAGCAAACTTACTGCAGCAATCAGGATAAGTTTCATTCTCTATCACATGAGAAGCATGCAGAGCTGACTTAAAGCAAGCTATGAACAAGAGTGGAGATCACTTTGAACAGCCTCAAACACAACACTTATACAGACTAGGAAAAGCTGTTCTTTCCCAGCTCTCATAGTGCTGCTTATGTCAACAAGAATTTAGCTGAGGCCTCCTTCTCTTTTCCTTCTGTGCAAACTGCTGCATTTGTTGTCTGCGCTCAGTTTCTAGCACATCCACACCTGTGGTGTTTGTTCTCTGCACCAGCTTTCTGCATCTCAAGTTAGTGACAGGTTGGAACCACACAGCCTTTCAGAAACAAGGAAGCACTTTAGAGCCACAGCTACTGCCATTCTTCACCTGACCGGTATTAAAGTTGCTATCGTATTTAATTTTTCTCTACACATCTTACCTTCCTGGTTTCCACGGATTTAAATCATTGTTAACCATCTGAATCTACAACCAGTGATCTCAATGGTTTTACAACACAAACTTACGTTTTGCTGAAGGCATCTAAGTTCTATGAACAGAAATGGACATAAACTGAGTAAGAGCTGAAGTCCTGCAGACAGACCTGATCTATGCAGGAAACCTTCTCTAACTTTGTGGTTTTCTGAAACCATCTCGCTGCCTAAGCAGTGGACTGAGCTGCAGACTTCAGGCTGCTAAAAACTGACTGCAGCCATTTTAAACTCCTTTAACATTGTCCTGAAAATGGCATCAGGTAGCTGGTGTCCTACCTGCCAATCCTATACACAGAGAAGAAAAATGTATTTAGTTTCTATTTGTGCAAAGATGAGTGCTAGGTGCAAATTTCACAAAGCTAGCACACCTTCAACAGACCCGCAAAATGGTACTTATATTAGTCTGTAGTTACATAGACATTTATTACAAGAAATAGCACTAGATATATTTACCTGTTTTCTATTGGATCTAGCATGCTCCCTGCTGTGGAGAAGACATTTTTGGCCTCAAACTGAGTCAGTGGTCACCATCTCCATTTCACAAGCTGAAAGAGTTGGGTTTGTTCAGCCTGGAGAAGGCTTCAAGAAGATCTGATTGTGACCTTTCAGTATCTAAAGGGGGATGATAAGGAAGGAGACATACTTTTCAGCAGGGTCTGTTGTGATGGTTTCAAACTGAAAGAGGGGAGATTAAGACTGGATATAAGGAATTTATTTATTTATTTATTAACAATAAGGATAGTGAGACATTGCAAAAGGTTGCCCAAAGAGGTGGTGGATGTTGTCCTTGGACACACTCAAGGCCAGGCTGGATGGGGGCACTGAGCAGTGATCTAGCTGCAGGTGTCCCTATTCACTGCAGGGGAGCTGGACAAAGTGGCCTTTAAGGGTCCCTTCCAACTCAAATGATTCTATGATCTCCCCCTGCCACTTGATCTTTCCCCCAGCTACCAGCTGAGAGCTGGGGCTTTTCATCCTGGAGAAGGCTCCAGGGGGACCTTATAGCAGCCTGCTAGTACCTGTAGGGGGCCTACAGGAAAGCTGTGGAAGGACTTATAAGGCACGTAGCAACAGGACAAGGAGAAATGGTTTTAAACTGGAAGAGGATAGATTTAGAATAGACATTAGGAAGACATTATTTCCTGTGACATTATTTCCTCGTGTGGTGAGGCACCTGAACAGACTGCTCAGAGAGGCTGCTAATGCCCCTTCCCTGGAGTTGTTCAAAGCCAGGCTGGATGGAGCTTAGAGCGACCTGGTCCAGTGGGAAGTGCCTATAGTAGAGGAGCTGGAACTAGAGGTACCTTCCAATCCAAACTATTCTATGACTGTGATTAGTGATTGAGCCATTTTAAAGTGTCTCAGTACACAAAAAAGTGAATTTTCAGGTTGCTTAAGAAAATAATTAGAAATACTGTCAGGCTTTATGACCCTTCCAAGGCCTTTCATGAGTTGTGGAGCAAGAGTTCTTGCAGATGGAAGAGCTAGTTCACCTGAAAAGGCCCAAGGTGCAAGTATAAGAAATTAGAGATTGCAGAGGAGCTTGGAATGCCTATGAGCAGCACTCATATCATAACATTGCATTTAGTGTGATTTTCTCTACTAATCTTTCAATCATGTTCAAATAAACTTCTAATACAATTTTTAAAATTATTATTATTCTACGGTGTTTTCCAAGCCAGGCATAGCACGCACCTCAGTAACAGCACCTGTCTCCTCCCCCCCCAGAATCTCCTTCTGATAGGAGATATATCTTGAACATAATCCCAAATGTCAGCTTTCACTCTCCACATAGCAGGAAATTTAGGTTAGTTGTTAGGGGGAAGTTTTTCATTATGAAGGTGGTGAGGCCCTGGCACAGGCTGCCCAGAGAAGCTGTGAATTTCCCATCCCTGGAGGTGTTCCAGGCCAGGTTGGATGGGGCACTGGTGGGTAGCAGCCCTGCCTACAGCAGGGGAGTTGGAACTAGATGATCTTTTTGGTTCTTTCCAACCCAAGAAATTCTATGATTCTATGATTCTTGCTCATTTCAGCATGGTGTTTTGTTTTGCTTACCTTTGTCACCACCACGTGGCAAATGTGTGAATTGCTCTCTTAAAGAATAGTGAAGAACAAATCATGTAGTTTTGGTAGATACTATCATCCAAGAAGCTGAAGAATAAATGGCAGCTTTCTACAAAGTTATGCTCTGCAGCAGATCATAACTGCATTACAATATGCTTCACTCATACCAGTCAGGTAGTTTGTTTCATGCACCTGGTTCTAGCTGCAGTGCCACTACAGCCACTGCTAGCCTAGTGCATGACATTGTCCAATAAGGAAATGTATTTGTCATGTGAAGTTAGGTATAGCAGGAACAGCCTTACACTGTGGACGAACACTCTTTTTGCTGTAGTAGTCTTCCGTTTCATTGCACAAGTAAGCTGAAGCACTTTTAGAGCTTCCCAATTTCAGTAATAGAATAACAGATTTTTTTATTGATTCAAACAAATAACAGGCACTGGTACAGTGAAAGGAACTGGTCACTGACAATGTATTTGGTGAAGCTTTGTAATATCTCAAAGGCTCAGCAAGCGGCAAACACCTGAAATACCAGGTAGAGTGCTGCCAGGCAAATCATTTGGCACCATAAAGGAGCAAAGGGCAACCTTGTTCTGTGTGAACCGTCCACTGGACAGGAAGACTGAAGGTGATTTTTGATATGGAAAGAGGAATTTATGTGCAGAATGATGGGCAAGGTGTACTTTTGTCACAAACAGGCTGGCTGCCCACTGCACTCCTCAGCCTGCCTTCAGGCTGGCAGAGGAGCACTGTGGAAGAGCTAAGGGACGGGGTATGTAGAAACATGACAACGAGCAGAATCTCAAATGCTTATTAGAGGAAACGCGTAATGGCAAAATTGGAAGCCAAAGGAATGTGATGAAACGCTAGTGCTAAGTGCGACTTATTTCATCAGTGACATATCAAAACGCCCGCTGCTCCTTTTTGGGGCGAGGATTGTGGTTAGACTACTTTGGTGAGGAAATCACTACTGCTTCGACAGCGCTTAAGGGCAACACGAACCAACTCCCTCCCTTCTCCCGCCGCCGTTTCCCCCATTGCACGGACGAGCCACGCCCACCCGTCCCAAAGTCCGCCATGCCACACGCAGGCTCTGGTCGCTAGGCGCCTACTTCCTACTTCCGCAACCCGCGGAGCCCCGCCCTTTCCGGTGAACGCGGCTCTCCCATTGGCTGTCGGGGAGGCTATATATTGACGTCACACGCCGCAAGCTTTCCTTTTCATTCGGCGCCCGCCGAGGCCTCCACACGGCATTGTACGCGTGAGTCGCGGCTCCGGCGGGGCGGTTGAGGGGCTGGTGGCGGCGCACGCACATTGAGGCGTTTATGGCTTTTAGCGGGTGTTCTGTGCGTGCTCCCCTCAGCCGGCCGAGCTTCCTCGGAGAGGCTGAGTGGGATAGAAGAGTAGGCCGCCGGCGCGGGCAAGATGGCGGCCGGGCGCCCGCCACGTGAGCCGCTGAGCTGGTGGTTGTGTCCGCAGGTTCCCCGTCGTCGCTTCTTAAGGGAAACTCCACGATGTCCGGAGGTCTCGATGTCCTGCAGATGAAGGAGGAGGATGTCCTCAAGTTCCTCGCTGCCGGGACCCACCTGGGAGGCACCAACCTCGACTTCCAGATGGAGCAGTATATCTACAAGAGGAAGAGCGATGGTAGATCGCTGGGATGGGAGCCCGGGGTGCAGTTGCTGGGCTAGATGGGAGTTGATGGGCAAAACTGGGAAAAAGAGCCGAGTGCTACCGCTTGAGTTTCCCAGCAGTTCGTGGCCCTGAAAAGTACAGAAATCCAAACAAATCGCATTCCTCAGAAAAGTAAAGCAGCACTTCTTATAGAACACAAATGAATCGATTGGTTTGGGCATCTCTATTAGTTCCTGACTATAGCAATAAGTGTAGTGTCTCAGTAGTAATTCGTGCTTATTGTGCTGCTCATAAGTCTAAACTGCACCATGTGGGAAGGTTCCAGCTCATAACAGACCCAGGTCCATATTTATGGGTTGGACCATAATGGCTGGAGTTAAACCACGTTAAAATCATGTTGTTGGATTTTTCTTGGAACAGCTTTCTGCTATCTGGAGTTTTGCAGTAACTGCAGCTCTGTAAGAAGTTTAATAGCAGGTGAGAGCTGTCTTGATTTCAAAGTTTCTTTACTAGTTACTCTAAACCTTTTTGTCACCTGTAGGTATTTACATCATCAATCTGAAGAGAACCTGGGAGAAGCTCCTCCTGGCAGCCCGTGCTATTGTGGCTATTGAGAATCCAGCTGATGTGAGCGTCATTTCTTCCAGGAATACTGGACAGGTATGGGAGTTCTTTATTTACCTGAGGCATTCAGTTTAGGGAGCAGGGCTGTTGCCCTGTAGCAGTGCATGCCATTGGCAGCTTGATAATAAAACAGTGACCCAATTTTGGCATTAAGAACAGCTTCGGAGGCGTATTTCTTTTGCTGTGGTTGAAGTGTAGAGCAACTCTGTAGATGGTCCCTGCACAGCTCCAGTTCCTGTAGATTTCAAGGCAGATATGAGTAGTTGAATGGTTTGTTTTTTTCCTTTTAGTCTTATTTGAATATGTTCTGCTGGACCTTGTCCATTTTTTGGGTCATCGGAGTGGCTTATGGGAACAAAAAGCACCTGATAGATTTAAGTTTTTTTCCAAAGAGAAAATAATTTTCTTTTACTAGAAGGGGAATTGTAAAAGGAAACAAATATTTCATTTTTCCTGCAGATTTTAAGCAGAAAAACTTCCCTAGAAAGGGTTGCACCATTCAAAATAAATCTAATTGTCACTGAAATTTACTGCTGAACTTAATTTCTTTGTCCTAATCTGGATAGCACCACAAACACAGGAGAGAATGCTGAATGATGTTGAGTGGATTTTCAAAAGAAAGGTGTGGGCACCTACTTATGCAACTTGCACACTGTTAAAGCTTGATGCTGAGGTCAGTTCCTGACCAGTGAGCTCTCAAGTGTCGGAAGTGTGCTACAACAAAGCAGTTGGCAGAGTGCTTGCTAATGCCAGGAGAGGAGCTACCTCTATGATTGGTGTTTGATAGCAGCCCTGCCACATGCGTGAGAGATTAGAAACTATTGCAAATGAGTAGGAGCTAGCAGTTGCAATCTTAGTGGACATTTACAGTTTGTATATATGTACTAGTAAGCCTTTTTTGTAGTTAATGAATGTTATGCTACTGCATAGTAAATGGTTGCAGAAATAATGGAGGAGAATGGCATTTTTTCTTTTTACATGGCTTGAGAACAGTCCAGGGGGAGCAGGAATGTGATTTAGGAATTGACCTTTGTAGCTCAGGTTGATGGTTGGACTTGTTGATCTTGAAGGATCCTTTCCAACCTAGATGATTCTATAATGCTGTTTGTTTAATCTATCCTTTTCACGGTTTGATGGAGGTTCTTAACTTGGAGTGGAGCATACAGCTCAGTTTAATGGGGGGAGAGAAACTTGTTCTTTACACTGACTTCTGCCTTGCTACTGGATGTGATCTTCTCACTCCTTTTTGTGGTGTTGGTGTAGTTATTTTTTAAAAGCAGTATTATTTTCACTCATCCAGAGAACTGGTACGTGAGCCCTGATGTTATAGGAATTGAAACAAGTTTATGTGGTCACTGACAGCATACCAGAGTGAGTTGGTTGAAACTGAATTTCCTATTTCACCTCTTGATTTGTTTTGCAGCGTGCTGTTCTGAAGTTTGCTGCTGCCACTGGGGCTACTCCTATTGCTGGACGTTTCACTCCTGGTACTTTCACAAATCAGATCCAGGCAGCTTTCCGTGAGCCACGGCTCCTGGTTGTTACAGATCCCCGAGCTGATCATCAGCCACTGACTGAGGCTTCTTACGTCAACATCCCCACCATTGCACTGTGCAACACTGACTCCCCACTGCGCTACGTGGACATTGCTATCCCCTGCAACAACAAGGTTACTGCTTTATAGAATGTAAAGCTGCTTTCTCTAGAGCATGCTGTAAGTTGCAAGATAGATGTTTTTTGGTAGGGGAGGTTAGCATGTATCTGGTGTGACTCCCAGGGTGGTTAGCTAATAAACTTCTGCAAAGCCAACAGGTAGGTGAGGAGAGTTTGAGCTTGCACACAGTTGGAGCTTGGAGCTGAGGCCAACTTCTGGCCAAGGAACTCTCAAGCGTAGGATGTGTGCTACAGTAACATGGCAGGACTTACTGACAGCCTGAGGGTCTTCGTGTCCCAATGAAAGGAGTTTGGTAGTCAATCTTGCCACAGTTCATGAACATGAAAGAAAAGTAATGTGACTTTGTGAAGAAACTGCTGTGAAATACGATCTTACTAGTTGCTGAAAGGTAGTCTATGGAAGTGGGAAACTAGCTTTAATCTCTATCTAGACACTTACTAATAAAACAGTGTAAGCCAAGTCTGAGCTCGAACGAGTCTCTAAGATTAATTTCTTCATATTAGCACGTGATATGGATGTGTAATCCTTGTGTTTTTGGTTAAGATTTACATGGGATGTTGATTCAGAGTACTGATTGAGGCAAATTCTGATGCAGGTGACTGCAGTGCTGCAGAGACCTGAAAATGTTGCTGTGAATTTGAAAAGTTGCTGTGTCCTGAGTCCATGTACATCATAGATCTGTCAGGGATTCTCTTGCCTGGAAAGAATTTCGTGTACAAATAAGTTTTCTCTTTAAAGGTGTGTGAGGGGAGGGAAAAGGCATTTAAAGGCATATATTTGAAGCAGATCTTAATGTAACTTTATTTTCCTGTTCCAGGGAGCCCATTCAGTGGGCCTGATGTGGTGGATGCTGGCTCGAGAGGTCCTGCGCATGCGTGGCACCATCTCCCGTGAACATCCATGGGAAGTCATGCCTGACTTGTACTTCTACAGGGATCCTGAGGAGGTAAAGACCTGTGGGAGGAAGTGTGTGTGAGGTGTGCTGCTTGTATACCTGCCCATGGTTCTCTGTGCTTTCCCCTGAGGGCAGGTACTTGCCAGTGTCATAGATTTGACACTTAGTGTCAGACTGACTTAATTAGTTGTCTGTCAGCTGATACATGTTGTGTGTGGTGAGATGTGTCTGTTCCTGTGCGATGGCAGCTGTGTTCTTCATTGCAGATTGAGAAGGAGGAGCAGGCTGCTGCTGAGAAAGCAGTGACAAAGGAGGAGTTCCAGACCGAATGGACAGCCCCAGCTCCTGAATTCACTGCTCCTCCTCAGCCTGAGGTTGCTGATTGGTCTGAGGGAGTGCAGGTCCCATCTGTGCCAATCCAGCAGTTCCCCACAGGTCAGTTTTGTGGAGGGGTGTCTAGAGGAAGTGGGATCTATAGAGAGCAGAAATAAATTGTCAGTCTGATTAGCTGCAGGGATGTGCACAGTGCTGGTGTATGGTCTTTAGCAAGTCACAGATGTTGGAATTCTGTAGGGAAAATTGAGTAGTACACTTCACTTGCTTCATGCAAGTTTCTGCCAGCAATGTCTTTAAGCAGTAAAATGTTGCATTTTTTAAGGCAGAGTGGATGTGAGTGCATACCTTAGTTACTGCACTTGGAAGCCCCAAATAAGCTGATTTGAAGAATACTAGTTTGTGTACTTGCATATACCTGTGCAAGAATAGCAGTGTTTGCACTGTGTTTTATGGATAAAAAGAGGAGGGATGCAGTGAATTTTGTTGTGTTTATAATTTCAGAGGACTGGAGTGCCCAGCCTGCCACTGAGGACTGGTCAGCAGCTCCCACTGCCCAAGCTACGGAGTGGGTTGGGACTACCACAGAGTGGTCTTAACTTCAGTGCCACTGTACTATCGAAAATAAAGATTAGTTTAATACCCATCCTACTTTGTATGAGTGCTGGTTGGTATGTTTTTTCTTCAACATGCTGGAGGGCTGGGATGTCATTCAAAGGCCTCAGACTTCAGAGGTGGGCCTGTGTGAACAATGTGAAGTTCAGCAGGGTCAAGTGCAAGACCCTGCACCTGGGTCAGTGAAATTCTAGATGTATGCAGATAGGGAGAAAAACTCATTGAGAGCAACCCTGCAGAGAGGGACTTGAGGGCCCTGGTGGACAAAGAATGACACAAGCCAGCGGTGTCCTTTTGCAGCCTCGAAGGCCAACAGGATCCTTGGCTGCAACAAAAGAGGGGTGGCCAGCAGGGGGCTGGAGCTGATTGTAGCTCTATGTTCTGCCCTCGGGAGGCCCCATGTGGAGTAGTGCATCTAGGCCTGGGGCTGCAGCACAAGAAGGAGGGGAATTTGTTGGAGTGGCTCTAGAGGAGAGTCAAGATCATCAAAGAAAGGAGCACCTCTTTATGGAGAAAAGTTGAAGGAACTGGGTTCCTTCTCCAGCAGTGCTGGAGAAGGCTCATCAGTAGTTAACGTGGCATTGTGGTTTGGGTTTCAGATAAAAATATTGATAATGTTGAATAGAGCTGGCTAAGAACCAAGGATTTTTCTGCTTTTTGTGTTGCCCTGCCATTGGAGAGGCTGGGATGCACAACGAGCTGGGAGGACAAGATATAAAAAATGTACTCTGTACTGCAGGTGGGGAGAATGGCCTCACCTGGAGCCTCTGGTAGAAAGCTGTAGTGGAGACTCAAAGTTGAGGATCTAAAGCCTACTACACTGCAACTGAAAAGAGACTGGCAGCATACGGAGGGGTTCAGGCTGCTTCAGAAGTGGTTGGTACTGAAGTACAACTCATTTGGCACCCTGACTGCTTGTGCTGGGCTGGATGCAAAGTGAGAGTCCACTCCACATCATGCAACTGACTACAAAGAAGGACAGTAGATATTTATAAAGTTGACAGTTTTTTGGTGGTGTGAGCTCAATTCATACCATTGTTTTTGTATGTGACTAATTAAGGGACATGGCTCCTTGCTTCTGGTTGTGCAGATCCCCCTAAGTGAGCTGCTTCCCCTTGGCCACTAGTAAAGCTAGTGAACCACAAGATGGTGGTGTCAGCAACTCAGCCTGGCTCCCTCAGAGATGAGTGCTGTCATTAACCCTAAGTAGGGGAAAATTGCATCCTAGAGTCTCCAGGGAGCATCTCACTTTGTGTTTTTTTTTTGTTTGCTTTTAATCTTGTTCTATGCCTAGCACACCCAGGACACCAGGATCCAGCAGCTCCTGCTCTGCCAGATCTTTAAGCTGCAGCTGCTGGAGCTTGTGCCAATGACTCGGGCAAGCTTTTGCCATAACTATTTGCATAGGCACTGCTCATTTCTGTGCCGTGGCTGAAAACTCCATATGAAGCTGCAAAGCCAAGAAATCTGACTGAGGATCACTGCATCACCTGTGATGCTGAACTCAGTGGTGGTGTTCAAGTAGTTCGTTCTGCCAGAGTTTGTTTGCCCTTGGAGAGCCAAGGGGATGCTGAGGATGAAGGGTTGTTTGCCTTTTGGGTTGGAACTATGGGGTGTAGATCACACCAGCTTTTCAAAGTGCTAACAGGGGCTTTTGGCGGCAGGGAAAACCCTGTGCATCATTTCCACCTGGCCGATGGCAGGGGGTGATCATGATGAGCCGCTCAGCTGCAAAACGTGAGTCCTGAGCATTTCCGACAGCCCAGTAGATGGGGCTGTTATTCCTGGTTTTGTCCGACTGCCAACTGCACCCCAGGCCTGGCAGGGCTCCTCTGCCTCCCCTGAATTTTTCGTTCCCTGCGGCAGGATGGTGCGCTTTCCCTCATACTACACTTTTCACAACTGCATGTAACTACTGTTTTTGTATGTATAACCGGGTGTTAAACTTGCTCCCTCCCTGCTCAGCTGCAAACTGTGATTGCGCTTTATAATTCTCCCCGAGGGAGCAGCTGTGGGATGCTGTTGGCTTCCAGCAGAGGAATGCAGTGCTCCTGATTTAAAGTGTCTCGGAAACTTTCTAGCTCATCCATCCTTCTTGGCACATCACCTCCAGCATTATGAAGGGACTTGTCTCCTCCTCACAGGTAGCAAAGTTAGGATGTACAACTCTTTGTAACTACTGGCTTTGCTTAGATGAGCAGCACATGCGGAGAGGGAAGCAGAGTGAGTACCGTTTCCCTTCAGTTGTTATTTTGCTATTGGAGGCTCTAGATAAACCAGACTAAAAACACATATACATAACCCTACCACTCTCCTCTCAGTGCACGTTTTCTGCAGGTTTTAAGCCCGGTTTCTTCACCCAGCTGGGTAAGGCTCTGTAAGCCCCAGGTGCTAGAGCATTTCATCTCCTTTCCTACAAGGATTGCTGTGAGGGTAACAGGTGAGTGAACTTCTGATTGCTTCTTTCTTTTGTACAAAGAGCATGTTTTATTCGAGTGGTGCAAACAGCCAGTGCCTGTCCATCAGGTAACTGAGAAATGCGGTAGTTTTGCTGACTTCAAGGGTTCAGCCTTTGAAGAGTTGTGAGCTTAGCTCTTAATGTGCCTTTGTTTGCCTGAATGTGGCTTGGATTTCTCCTGCTGGAGTTTGACTTCAAGTCTCTTCCTACACGTTGTTTTAAACTAAGAATTGAGATTTCTTGAACCACGCCTCAAATATGAAGTAAGGAACTCAATGAAAATGTCAAATATGAGACTTCTGATAGAAAATGCTTCAAGTTTCCAGCACTGCATGGTGCACAGGTGGGATGAGGGCTCTGGAGAACCATCCTCTTGTGGCTGTGAGTTGGTCTGCACTGGAAATTTCTGCTCCATTGGGAACCAGGAGGTGGAAGTTTGGGTAAGTAACAAAATCTTTATGTTTGTTTGATTTTATTTTAAATTCTGACTGTCCATCCTTCCAGAATTACACAGAGCAGATAGATTGATCTTGCGTCTAATGTTCGTTTTGTAGGTACTTGTGTTAGAACTGAGAGTCTCTTGGCTGGATGCAGTGTGGGAAAGGCTTGGTGTGGATGTGTGTAACATAGCATCTGTTCTGGTATGAGAAGGCTGCTGTTGCACTCTGCTGTGTTCTGAGACAGTGCTTTGTGATTAGTGACTCCTGAGGCTCTTCTGCTAACAATAAATTGTAACACAAAATACAAGGAGGGCAACAAATGTCTCCCATGGGGTAATGCAAACTGGAGGTGATGAGCATGGAGTTTTGGACCTTACTGGATTAGATGAGGTATGATGGACGCCACCATGGATGAGTCTCGTGATATGGAGCCTCCTATGGTCATCTCTCATGGGGTAGAGTCAGAATAAGTGGTTACTGCAGTACGTGAAATGCTTGCTACAGAACTAGCACTGATTCCCTGGAGCCTCTTTGGAGACCCTGTTGCCAGGAAGCCTCATGCTTCTGCCTTG